CATCCCATCCCATCCCATCCTCTCTAAGCGGTTTTACAGAGTCAGCATATTGCCCCCAACAATTTGGCTCCTCATTTTACCCATCTTGGAAGGATGAAAGGCTGAGTCAACCTTGAACCTGGTGAGATTTGAACTGCCAAATTGCAGGCAGCTGGCAGTCAGCAGAAGTAGCCTGCAGTACTGCATTCTAACCATTGCGCCACCGAGGCTCATTGTAAGTTCTTAACAAGGTTATACTTCTTTCTAAAGAAGAATACACATAATATGCAAGTGCTCCTAGAGCCATAAATGATTTATGTAACAAGGAATGCCTTTTCTACTTTCAGTAGATTCATCAGATACAACCATTCCTTTACTTTCAATGAGCCTTTGGAAAGGGAGGGTTTTTTTGGAACCTGAATTTTTTCCCAACCAATAAAGGATCAATGCAGGGGAAACTTATATTCATCTCTCTCACAGACAACTCCCACCCAGTGTCTACTTCTGTCAAATTAATGTATGGAGCATCATGGGATCTTTTATGAGTCAGCACTATAAATTCTAGAAAGAAAAATGTCTGATATAATATTATTACTCAGCCATATACTGTCTTTCCCTAAGACGTTCAAGGCAGCATACATACTTTTTCCTTCTCCAATATTAAATTAAAACAACAACCAAGTAAGGCTGAGAGATAGTCCTTAGTTTAAGTTATTCCCCACGCCCCAACCTCTGTAGACTATTTTCAAAGCTTGTAGTGCCTATGAACCATAACCTCAGCAGAAGGTAGCAAAGTCCTAGTGGCCAATAACTCCTACTCATGCTAGTACATATAACAGTTTCTTATGAAAATAAAATAATCTTTGGTTTTGTTCCACTCTATTATTTTACTAGATATCTTCTCTGATTGTTTCATAGGAGGAATAATAGAGTTCAGTGTCACCAGCATGCTTAAGTCACCCCACTTCAAATGCTGTTTACGTCTCCTGCCACGAAGCCAATCACAATCTGGCTGATTTAATCAGCCAGGGTGAGTATGAGTTGAACAGACAAGTGGCAGTTCTTTTTTTCACATTCTTTTCCACATGTTTGAGATCTACAAGTTGAAAACAGTGCATATGAACCTGATACATATTAGCGTGAGTACCTCCCTATGAACTGTTGCAGAATTGAAGTGAACTAAGTTGACTTTGAAAAAAAACAATGAAAATTGCTCACAGCGTGTCTCCTTAAATCTGAAAGTTGCAATACTGGCTAAGGATAGTTATAATTTGTTATATAATTGTTGATGTGAATACTAGAAATATTGATATTTTAAAGGTAGCCCAAACTGATTTTCTCAGTCAATGGAGTCAATCATAGTGTATTTATTTATTTGGTTAGATTAGGCAAGGGAATCTCTCTGATTCTATCTGTTCTGTCGAGGGCAAATCATGTTTTTTGTTGTTTCAAAAATAAAACTGATTCTGAGGAAAAATTAAATATGTAGACCCACAATTTGAATAATTCTCAAGCCATCTCATAAATGTAACAAATGCCTAAGTGTTTACCCTTGGAGATACAGGACATTTGGATAGATATTTGGCAGTTGGGATATCACAAGCTCTATCATACAAATTAAATAGGAGGACAAATTAATTGAGTATTTTTAGTTTAAGAAAAGCAAAAACAGAAAACAAAGATGAATACTATATCTGAAGGATATAAATCTGTAGGCTGAAGAAACACAAAGATGATCCAAGTTCATATCTATCCAGAATTATAAGCTATGAAGATAGAGAAATGGAAATCTGGTGCTGGTTAAGAAGAAAGACAAAATAATGGTCTTGCTCTCATTTTATGTACAGAAATTCAGTAAACCTACAGATTGTTTTATTTTAAAACTGGCAATGGGATTGGGATCTGCAAGTGAGCCTAAGGAGTGCAGGCAGTCAGGCAGTGTATCTCACAGAGATCTTATATGCCAATACCTTGTTATCTATTTCTATCTAGATAGAAATAGGGACCTTGTAAGTCATCTAGTNGATTCATCCTTAATAGTTTCTTTAAATTCATTCCTAATTGACGAGATTCAGCATTTCAGAGAGTATTCATGGTGATGCCTTAAGAAATTGTGCATATATGCACAATATCACAGTGTGGAAGATGGTTGGCTTCTACCACTTTACCTTAACTTGGAACTTATTTATTTGGCAGATTTATATAACCAACCATGTAAAACTCACCAGCTTTCTCTTCTTTTGCATCAGTGGTTGGAGCATCCCCTTGAATAACTGCCATATTAAAATGTTGACCACAAAGACTAATTGTTATTATTTGATCAATACTTGGTATGGCTAAGGATTGTTCTTGCTATACCCTTCCTAACGATGAAAGCAATGCCATTTCTTCTTTGTCTTAAATATCCGGAAATTATAAGCAGAGATCTTTTAAATTAAATTTTCCAAATGTATTCCATCCCATCTCAATACTCTGATGGCTTTGATGTCAAATGTTGATTCATTTCACCTTTCATTATGTTGAACTTTCTCATATTCATGCTCCTTACATTTCCTGTTCTCATTGTAATTCTTTCTTTGCAGCTTCAGATATTGTTTTCTTGCCTGGCAACATCAACAACTAAATATTCTGAAGGCTTTAATTTAGACATGTCACAAACACTGTTAGCACTGTGAAAGATCTTCAGTTCTTCCTCACTCCTGCTGAGTGCCATCTGACCTAAGGGGCTAATAATGTGGCATATATTGTCAGTCATTTTATTCTTTCTATCCATGTGATTTTCTTGGTATAATAGAGGAATGATTTATCATTGTCCTATGCAATATGAAATGATGCATTTGCTGATAAGTGATTTAGTGCAATTTAGTTTTGATATTTTAGCAATTTTCTTCCTCTATCATATTCTATATTGCTTCTGCCCAACATTGATGCCCACTAGCTTTAGCTGGCAGCTGGGATGATCTTCACACCTTGCGTGATCCTGTTAGAATTATATCCTCTTGGCATAAACTCCTGGCTTTCTTTAGTTATCCCTCACAGGAATCTTCCAGGAATGAAGCAGCCCAGCAGGGCTTTGTCAATAAAGTTCATCTAATTATAAATTAACACGTTAACAGCTCAGATTATAAATTCCACCATATAG